GTTCTGATGTCCCCTCCCCCATTCCCTGGCAGCCCAGGAGGCCACAGAGAGTGCTGGCCTAGTCCCGCCCCGCCGGAGACAAAGACCTTCTGTGAGGCTGCACTTCCGCTGGTTGGTGTCCAAATGCTAATTGGCATCAAAGCATGAAGTAGGCCGGCAGCTGCCTCATCACCGGAGAAGACCAGGAGGGAGCCCCTCCTTTCTTTCCAGAAAGGCTCATCTCTCTCAAATTACCTTCAGTTTTTGTTGTTGTTACTAATCCTCACCCAAGGGAAGGGAGGGAGGGGGAGAGAGAGAGAGAGAGGGGAAACATCTATGTGAGAGAGACACATTGATTGGTTGCCTCCCATACGCTCCCTGACCAGGGCTGAGGATTGAACCTGCACCCCAGGTACATGCCCTTGACCAGAAAGCAAACCAGCAGCCCTTTGGTCCTCAGGCTGCCGCTCTAACCAGTGACCACCATGAGCCAGGGCTTTTTCCATTTGTTTATGAGTGTGGCCTCCTAGGCAGGGGAATGAAGAGCAGAGTCACTTGGACTCTTAGAAGTTCAGTTCTGGCCACCCTGAGTCTGCTTTCTGTTGTACCTTCTGAGGCAAAACCAGGTGGTGGTGGTGTGTGTATCTATTTAAGTGTTGGATTGAGACCACCACACTTCTTAAATTTTTTTAATCCTTACCCGAGGATATATTTTTCTATTTATCTTCAGATAGAGTGAGAGGGAGAGAGAGAGGAAAGGGTAGAGAGGGAGAGAGAGAGAAACATCAGCATGAGAGGGACACATCAACTGGTTGCCTTCCACACGACCCCGACCAGGGCTGGGGGCAAACCACAACCCAGGTATGTGCCCTTGACCAGAATCGAACCCGGGACTCATTGGTCCGTGGGCCGACACTCTGACTGCTGGCCAGGGCAAGAACACCACACTTGTTTTTAACTGATGGTTACAGGAGGTTTGAACTTGGAAGGTGGTTCTTTATTACTCTCCTCTAAGATCACATAAAACACTGTATTGATAAGCATTGGTCGTGATCAGGATTCCAGCTCAGAGCTTGTGCAGGTCCTGCATCTCTGCTGCTTTCTCTCCAAGGCGGGCTCTGGTCAGTAAATGGCAGTCAGGTGCTGAGTGCCTCTGTGTGTCCGATGGCAGCAGTCTGTTCGGTCACCACAGAAGCAAGAGCAGGAGAGCCGGGAAGTCTGGACCCATTGCTCAGCGCTCTGGACGTGTCTGCCAGCTGCAGCGGCTCGGCCGGCGGGCCGGCGGTGTGCGGACAGGCCTGCCAGTGTGCACGTTCAGTTTCACACCAGTGGGCAGTGCTGAGTTAAGTGTGAGACTTTTATCTCTATAACACGTATAAGGATTCTAACTTGGTGGACTCCGAGACAAGCGAGAAGAAATACCGGAACTAGTCAGCAACGCCTTGTCCTTCATTGCTCAGGAAGCGACGCGGCCTTTGCTTTGGGAGGGAGTGAAGCCTGCTGGCAGAGCGTCGCGGGCAGCAGTGGCCCTTGGGGCAGTGCAGCCAGGGTGGGGAGCGGGCGGAGGGCAGCGATGACCCATAGAGCCGAGGCTGTCAGTCCAGGAGAGGCTCTGAACTTCAGGAGTGATCCGCTGCTCTGACCACAAGACACAGCTGTAGCCGGAGTTTCCACGCCCTCCGCTCTGACTCACCATCGTTCTTTTGTTCTGTATCGTCTTTGTACTGGATCCCGGTAGGTGTAGTGTGAAAGAAACAACGAGCAGACCTTCAGCCCGCAGCCCCGTGTCGGGAGCGCGGGAGGTCTGACCTTGCGGCCCTTTCTGCTGCGAGCATGTTCGTGGCCGAAGGCATGGCTGCGTGTGTCAGACATCTGTCCGTCCTGACAGGCCCCCCACTGCCCCGGGCTGCCCAGGAGCCCACAGGCACAGCTGGGGGCCACCCGTGGTGGCTCGGAAGGGCGCAGACTTCGTGTGCCCGCAGGTTGAGGTCACGGTCACCGTCACACACTGCCCGTGAGTGAGTGTGTGGAAAGAGCAGAGGACAAAGCTTTGGATGAACTGGGCTTTCTGGTTCTATCTGGGGCCTGCTTCCTTGTGCCTTATGTTAATAAACATGTCCACCTTTATGTTTTAGTATAAAGTTCCTTGGAAGAACGGTTCCACACTGAAGGGTGTTATTCTTTAACCCTAGCCAGGCTAAACCCAGGTTTCATTGGGGTTGACATAGTTATTCAGCATCACATTGGAATCAATTGTTCCTTCAAACACGGCCACTTTGGAATCATAGATGAAACAATGTTTGCACGTGTACAGAGCTCGCCCGCGTTATTGCAGATGTGCAGATGTACTTGGCCACATGACTCAGCTTTTACGTGCAGCCATCACCTCGAAAGTCAGACAGCTATGCTCACCAAAGATGCTTCTGTGTTCTGGCCCGTGGAGCCCTGGCTCAGGCCAGGACCAGCCTGGACGCCTGCGTTTGAGAGTCACTGTTCTGAGGTGGTGATGTCTATCATGTGTTCGGTTTCTAACGCAGCAGTGTACACAGGATGTTAGTTTAAAAGATAATTTTGTTTGTTTTTATTTGGTCTTGTCATTAATATTTGATTAACGATGTTGCGGCTTTTATCTTAAAGAACAATATTTGCAAACCAAACTTATTTGTGGTCTGTGAGTCCTTGTGAGGGCCTCACAGAGGGCACAGGGAGGGCACATGGAGCTGCTAGGCTGTTACAGTAGGTTTCTTCATTGTGTGTGTGCGCGCGTTTTCTGCCCTCCTCCGTCCTGGTGATTGGCCTTCTTCATTCCTGCGCTCTGTGTGTGCGTGTGCGTGTGTGTGTGTGTGTGTGTGTGTGCGCGTTCTGCCCTCCTCCGTCCTGGTGATTGGCCTTCTTCATTCCTGCGCTCTGTGTGTGCGTGTGCGTGTGTGTGTGTGTGTGTGCGCGCGCGCGTTCTGCCCTCCTCCGTCCTGGTGATTGGCCTTCTTCATTCCTGCGCTCTGTGTGTGCGTGTGCGTGTGTGTGTGTGTGTGTGTGTGTGCGCGTTCTGCCCTCCTCCGTCCTGGTGATTGGCCTTCTTCATTCCTGCGCTCTGTGTGTGCGTGTGCGTGTGTGTGTGTGTGTGTGTGTGCGCACGCGCGTTCTGCCCTCCTCCGTCCTGGTGATTGGCCTTCTTCATTCCTGCGCTCTGTGTGTGCGTGTGCGTGTGTGTGTGTGTGTGTGTGTGCGCGTTCTGCCCTCCTCCGTCCTGGTGATTGGCCTTCTTCATTCCTGCGCTCTGTGTGTGCGTGTGCGTGTGTGTGTGTGCGCGCGTTCTGCCCTCCTCCTTCCTGGTGATTGGCCTTCTTCATTCCTGCGCTCTGTGTGTGCGTGTGCGTGTGCGTGTGCGCGCGTGTGTGTGTGTGTGTGTGTGTGTGTGCGTTCTGCCCTCCTCCGTCCTGGTGATTGGCCTTCTTCATTCCTGCGCTCTGTGTGTGCGTGTGCGTGTGCGTGTGTGCGTGTGCGCGTGTGTGTGTGTGTGTGTTCTGCCCTCCTCCGTCCTGGTGATTGGCCTTCTTCATTCCTGCGCTCTGTGTGTGCGTGTGCGCGCGCGTGTGCGCGCGCGTGTGTGTGCGTTCTGCCCTCCTCCGTCCTGGTGATTGGCCTTCTTCATTCCTGCGCTCTGTGTGTGCGTGTGCGTGTGCGTGTGCGCGTGTGTGTGTGTGCGTTCTGCCCTCCTCCATCCTGGTGATTGGCCTTCTTCATTCCTGCGCTCTGTGTGTGCGTGTGCGTGTGCGTGTGCGCGTGTGTGTGTGTGTGTGTGTGTGTGTGCGTTCTGCCCTCCTCCATCCTGGTGATTGGCCTTCTTCATTCCTGCGCTCTGTGCGTGTGTGTGTGCATGTGTGTGTGTGTGTGTGTGTGCGCGTTCTGCCCTCCTCCGTCCTGGTGATCGGCCTTCATTCCTGCGCTCTGTGCGTGTGAGCGCACGCTCCTGTCCAGGGCTGCTCTCTGTGGCACACAGGCACCGAGACTGCTCAGAAACCCCAAGTCTTGGAAGAACACCACTAGTAAGTGGGATGTGTCAGTGCAGAAGAATAAGGGCATTTGAGGGAACCAGTCATCATTTCAACTTCAAAATATATGGAGTCAAGGGAATCAAGTTATCAGATTTTTTTCAAGGATCTTTTTATTTTTCTTCTAACTGACCAAGGTTGAGTTTCTCTTTCCTTCAACTTCTCTCTGCTTTCCCATGTCCAGTCTGCTTTCCCCTCGTTCTGCTGCCCCCTGTGCCTGTCTGCGCAAAGGGCAGGGTGCCGGCCAGGGTGTGTGTGAGGAAGGCAGAGACCGCGCCCCTGCGCTCACAGGGCGGCTTGTTCTGGTCTCTCAGACTTGTGCCGTCCTCTTTGTCCTTCATGTCTCCTCTGGTCTTCTCATATCAACTCTGCTTTTCTTCTCTGTGCATCTTGTTTTAAAATAAAGCAAGAGGCTGGGGATGAATCAAGTCTAGAAAACCTACTGTTTCGTTACCGGGGCTCACTGGACCCTCCCTGCTGTTCCGGGTGTTGGAGTCTCAGCAGGCCTGCTGCTCCGTGCTGCCCTCTGCCCTGGGCCTCGCCAGGCAGAGCTGGTGCCGGTGGGCAGAGTGAGCTGCTCTGCCTCCGTGTCGGGCGGGGGTGTTCCCCAGTGCACTCTAGAAAATAGATAGCCTTTTTTAGTAATTAGTTGAAATAGTATGAGTCAATTCTCTTTTTTGCTCCCATTTTTACAGATGAGCAAATTGAGGTCCAAAGAGGTCGAGTAAATTGCCTGAGGTTCACATAGTTCGAGCAGGAGCTGGGGCGCAGGGCCCTCGCTGCTCCTGTATCCGTCTGTGCCTCCCACACGTACACATTTCTTGCATGGCCTGTAGTCACATTTTAAAGTCCCCAGTTCTTGGCATGAGGATAAGTGAATGGACTGGAACCTTTGTGACTGCCCATGGGGGGAGGGGCAGTAGAACAAGCACATCCTTCAGAAGCCACGTTTTATTTCATTTTTTTAAGGATGAAGAGGAAGAAATCAAACTGGAGATAAATATGCTGAAGAAGTATTCTCATCATAGAAATATTGCAACATATTATGGTGCTTTCATTAAAAAGAGCCCCCCAGGACATGACGACCAGCTCTGGGTAGGCACCTGCTTCCTCAGCCTCTGGGGTTCCTCTTGGGTTGTATCGAAAGGACATTGGGGACCTTCCAGGAGAAGGGGACAGAAAAGCAAAGAATAGGGCGTGTCTGGCATCTTTCTTGGCCGACTTGGTGGACATTGTACTGATGTTCATTTTGATGCTGATTTCTCTTTGCCTGGAAAAGAGTTAAATTTGTGTTTCAGGAATAAAATGACGTGTTTTAAAAGGAATGCAACCGAAGAGCAAGGAAATTAGGAGCTTAAAAATAAAAGCAAAAGAACAATAAAAACTATTTATGGAAGCTCCACTGAATGCATCTTCTCTGCACCGGGAAGCGAGAGACAGACCTCAAGGAAACCAGCTGTGTCAGGAGTTTTAATAACAGTGGCGATAATAGTTAATTAAAAACAAGAGATTCCAGGGAAGTTTCTGGCTTTGACACATTTGCACTTATCTCTTATCGACACATTTATATTCAAGATGATGAAATTGAGATAGTGTCAGAAATATGGTCATCACATTCATTATACCAAAGGTTCTGGACTTAGAAAGCAGGAAGATAAATTAATACTTTTTTAAGTTTTTTAAAAAGCCATTGTGGAAAATTTGCAAAATTAAGAAAATACAAGGAAAACAGTTGCTTCCACTGCCATAGCCCAGATGCCCCCAGTCAACACTTCGGTTCCATTCGGTTGATTTTTCCAGGTTCTTTAAAAATACTCTTCTGTTCATGTTGTTCAAACATGTACATGTGGTATATAGTGTAGTTTTAAAAACTATATATTATTTAAAAATAGCATTTATCTTTTGTTTTAAGCCCAGTCAATGAGAATCATAATAGTTTGAATCTGGCAAATGAGAAACAGTGTTAGGGAGTATTTGTATTAGATTTCTGGTAATTGGGCACTAATTAAGAGCAGAATGGCCCTCAGTGCCCCTGTGCTTAGGAGAGAGAAGAACGCCACCCTGGGGAATGTGCTGCAGAATGTCAGAGCTCGCGACCTCTTGCACCAAATGTGCTTGGGTAACCAATGGGATGGCAGCGCGCCCTCGGCAATCTGAGTGCTTCCAGAAGGGCCCCGTGCTGGATCCTAGGACCTGTAGGACGGGCAGAGGGAGGTCAGGTGCGCCTTCCCGACTTCTCTGGGTGTGTGCTGATGTCCGTGAGGCTTCGCCCCTGTGGGGCAAGTGGGTCACGGTGTGTTTTCTGCCCTGCAGCTTGTTATGGAGTTCTGTGGAGCGGGGTCCATCACGGACCTGGTGAAGAATACCAAAGGGAACACGCTCAAAGAAGACTGGATAGCTTACATCTCCAGGGAGATCCTAAGGGTAAGACCCGGTGCCCACGTGGGTTGTGTCTCGTTTCCATTTTCTTTGCACAGAGCATTTCCTCGCATTAGTTATAACTGGATGGGTTCATCTTTATTGACAACCAAGGGCTCTGTTTGCTGGCTGGCTTTGATGGTTCAAGCTACATTTGATCTAAAGAATCCAATTATTTTGTAAAGTATCTTAAGAAAGTAGATTTCAACAAAACTTGTCTGTATTTCCCTGAATTCACCTCCAGGTGTTAAGAAGAAAGTCCTAGTGAGGAGAAGAGAAATGACCGCTGTCACTGTCAGTGCTGTCCCTGCGCCTGAGCCTCTGCTCGCTCTCAGCGGTGCTGGGCGCTGTGTTCAGTCGGCCCGCGTGTATGAGAGAAAGGTCTAGTGTTGATGCTGTTTGTAGCCAGTCAGAAGGTTGGCTTATGATTTCAGTGTGTTTCTGAATGACTATCACAGTGTCTCCTAAGGGACTCCTCTCCGGGGCAGAGCTGTCCCGACAGTGGGCAGAGGTCTCGCTGTCCACACTGGCAAAGGGCCTGTGGGTTGCCCCGCCCTCTCGGTCAGCCAGCACCGCTTTTCTCTCACTCACCCTGTGTTGCACACTTAAACGCCTCGTTTGGATTTCATTTACCCCTACGTTTAAAAAATAAAGACTATAGAGTTAAGCCGGAATCTAATTGTTATGCTTTTCTTACTAATTAAAAAAATGTTACTTTAGCCCAGCTGGTCTGGCTCGGTCTGGCTCAGTGGGTTGAGCGCATCCTGTGGACTGAGGTCCCGGTGACTCTAGTCAGGGCACATGCCCGGGTTGCAGGCTCGCTCCCCAGTAGGGGTTGTGTAAGGAGGCAGTCAGTTAATGTTTCTCTCTCATATCAGTGTTTCTATCTCTTTCCTTTCATATCTTTCTAAAAAAAAAATCAATAAAAACATTTTTTTTAAAGTTACTTTTTCATTTGTAGGTAAATTTACCCCCATTTTATATTTAAGTTTCATACGGGCCTGGAAGTTGAGAGTGCAGAATTCATAGACAGGTTTAATTCCTTCTCGCTTAGATGTTTCACACAGCCCTTGACAATAGGAAATCCCCTAAGAGAGCTGGTTGCGGGGTGAGATGGGAGAACCACCTGTTTATAACCAGATTCACATTTTACTGTTAAAACATCGGGGTTCTATCTCTTATGGTGATTACCGGGAGCAGAGTCTGAAAGTGGGAAAGAAGTACCCCTGCACTGCCGGACGGACTCAGTGACGCTCTGGTGTGTTTGCCCCTGGCCACTGACACCGTTGGCTGGGTGGGCAGGGGGAGAGCCCCGACTAAGCTTGTGTGTGCCGGAGGTGACCAGAGGGGTATGAGCCTCTGCCACGGACCACTATACACCCTTGGTGAAGTGCTCAACTTTTAGGACTTACTTTCTTCCTCTGCAAAATACAGATAACAAGCCTATGAAGGGAGTACCTTTATTAGGAGAATTAAATGAGTTAGTGTATAAGAACCATTTTATGTAACATGTGGGTACATAGCAAATTCTCGTGAATATGAGTTATTATCATTCTGTTAAAAGCACACACAGGCACCTTTCCTCCATGTCATCCCAGTGTAGGGATTCTCAAACAGAGAACTCACTTTTAGTATAAATGTCCAAAGCACCAAATATATTTCAAATACAGTTCATCAAAGACAGTTTGCAGGCGTCTGTATGTGCAGGCAGGTGTGTCACCTGTGTGCGCACTGTGTTAGCTCTTTCATTGCCATTGGTCTCAGACAGCATTTAAAAGCAGCCCAGGTTGTTTGAGGCCCCTGCTCAACAAATACCGTAGCTTCATGAACACCCTTTTGAGATGCTGCACCTAGTGAGCCTGTGAAAACCAGGGCTCTCTTCACCAGGAATGGGACAAAAGTCTCAGTGAACTTAAAAAAGAAAAAGAAAAAAACACCCCCCAAAAGAGTCAGGGCATGAAAAGCTGGTGTGTGTTTATCATGAAGGGATTACTAAGAACCTGCTCTGTAAGAAGGCAGCATATCGGGAGGGGTGCTCTCGGGAAGGAAGGCAGCACCTCAGGCAGCTGACGGGCTCCTGGTGGCAGGACGTGCCCTCGCTCCTCCCCGCGTGTTACATGCAGCTGCGGGAGTACTGAGCCCTCGGGGGGCCCTGGGTGTGTGCAGAATCTCTCGGGCCGGCCCACTGAAACTCTTGGGACCAGAAGGGTTGCCACAGCTCCAGCACGTTCCCTCCAGCCTCTTCCACGGTCGGTCTACACGGCAGTCACATGCACTGTGGTAGAAACGAGTATTTTTTAGGGAGTGTGGGCACTCACAGCCTTTCGTAACCCATACTGAAGGACAGCCTTCAACTGCTCCTTCCCTGTTCTCTGTTCATGAATGAGAATGTCACAGGAAAACTGTTCCCTAGTTTTGAAACATGGATTCATTCTGGCTAGAATGTCTACCTCGGTGTGTTTGGACTTGTCATTTCTGCTCAGAAAGAATAACTGGGGCTCCGCTTTTGGCATGGGAGCCGTTGAGCCCACATCGCGTCCCTTCTGGGAACCTCACACAAGAAAGTGTCTCCGCTGTTCAGAGCAGGGGCTCGGCGTGGGCAGTGGGAGAGCTGCAGGCCACACCTTCAGCAGCACGGTGCGCCCCACCTCGCGGCAGCACCGGGCAGGACACGTTTCCTACAGATGTTGCTCATGAGGACCGAGTGCACCGGCCGCGTTTGTCTGAGAACACTTGGTGCTATAAAAGTGTAGGAAGGGGGTTTGTGAAAGTTAGAGAATAATGAGCGGAAGTTATAAAAGTAGGAAATGTGAAAGAATTAGGGAAGCTCTTCTTTTGCAGTCATAGTTTATGATGCTGAAAGGAGGGCTGTCTTCCTAGCTGTCACACCGGGTCACACACGTCACTCGTGCCTTGCCCCAGGCAGAGCTTCCGGTCCAACCCTCCCTGTCCCGAGTGGGGGAGGAGCAAGCAGGCCCGTCCGGTTCATTCTGTTCCACAGGGCACTAGAGAAGGGTGGTCTGGAACCCCTGTGCTGGAAAATGAGTGATCTAGAACAGCTGCTATATTTCATTCAGAGCTATAAAGTCATGATAACAATAAACTTCACACAAAAAATTAACAGGAAAATCAGACCCTTATGTTTAATCTGCCCTTTTTGAATTGAGCCTTTGCAGAGTGAATAGGTTGTTTATATCTAAAGGAGGCAGGCTCTTCATTTGGCTTCTGTAGCTAAAGATGGGACAAGTAACTGAGTTGTGAGAATGGTGCATTTTTATCTTTTAGACCATATTTAGATGCAAAATATGGTTGTGTTCTTACTCCCCCTCTCATAAGAGACCTGCTCTTGGGCTTTCTTCCAGATACAAGGTCATCACACAGCGTGGTGTGCCCACTCGGGTTTATCTCTTTGGGAAGAAGTACTTGAACATAAAGCTCTTTTGGCAGCGGAATTATATGCACTTGGGCAGGGTGGGACGGTGGCAGTTACTTTGTCACTGTGCGGGGAACCAGGCGTGTTTGGGCCGGCATTAAGCCCCACCCCCACCCTTTACTTTCCCTGGGGATGTGTCCAGTTCAAATATACCACAGGGCTGTCCACCCAAAAGATAGATGCAGAGCATGGGCAAGAAACCACCCTGTACACAAATAGCACAAATTATAGCAGAGAAAATCCAGATGGTAATCTACAGTGTGTCTTCCAGGGGCAGATAGAAAGGGGTGGTGTGTCTCCCAGGGGACCTAACCCACTGCAGTTGGAGGGTGGGCACTTCTTTGTCTGTGTAGTGTGATGGGTGATGTATTCCTGGAAGTGCACTAAGATTGGATTGTAGGTTCTAAATATGGTTCGCAGAACCTTTTGGCCCACACATGCACTGTGTCACAGGGTGTGTTCCTGGTCGTTGGCTCACTGATGGAGCACTAAGTCCAGGTCTGTCTTCCTGTGCAGGGGCTGGCCCACCTTCACATCCACCACGTGATCCACCGGGACATCAAGGGCCAGAACGTGCTGCTGACAGAGAACGCGGAGGTGAAGCTTGGTAGGTGCCACCGTGCTGCAGGCCCCGTGCTGGTGCCCAGCTCAGACCAGCAGCACTCCCGGCCCACTGCCTGCAGCCAGGACTGTCTGCTGCCCACATCTTCTGTCTCCGCTCTATTTAAACAGGGGGATGGCGCTTATTGCTGAGCCTGGCTCTCCCTCCCTTCCTGTGTGCCTCTCCCCTCTGCTCTGTTCTCCATGTAGGCGATGGACTAGTGTCTAAATTGGAGTGTGTCATTTTCCTGCGTAAAGCCCTTTAGTGGCTTTCTGTTTTACTTTGAGTAAAATCCACTTTTCTTACCATGGCTCATAAAAAGCCATGGCCCCTCCTACTTTTAAACCTCATTTTTTGATGACCCTCACTTCTCTCTTCTTCCTCAGTCACTAATTTTAACTTCCTTATAATGTACCTCAGGACCTCCCACACCCCCCTCCCCGCTTCACAGCTGCGGCGTTTCCTCACCCCACAGGCCTCCCTGACCCTCTGGTCTGTGCTGGGTCGCACTGCTTGTTTCTTCTACAGTAATGAGCACAATTTATCATTATTAAGCTATTTGTTTGCTCATATTTCAGACTCCTTCATGAGAATGTAAGTGCTGGGGGTGCAGTGAGCTGGTTTATTTGCCAGCGTATTCTTATCCAGCCCCTAGCACAGTGCCTTGTGTGTAGTAGGTGCTCAGTGAACATGTGTGTGGCTGGTGGAGCTCAGAGTGTCATCCTAGAGATGGTGTTATAATGCTGCTTTTATATTTCCAGCTTCCCTTATCTGGATCTGAACTTTTTCTCATCCCATTTTTATATAATGCTTCTATCAGATTTCTAAACAGAATTAACATTAAGTTTTCTTCCACTAAGGCATCACAGACAAACTCTTTATACTAAGAAGGATCTAGTCCACCTTTAAAAAGCACCTCAGCAGGTGCTTGGTGAGGGGCTGTGCTCTCAGCTGCGGTAACAGCACTGCCTGCCTGACCCCCAAGTGTGTCACGGGAGCGTGCCCCGGAGAGCTGGCCAGGTGGGTTCTGAGGATGGCCCGCAGACCGGAGGTGCATCTGTGACCCGCGAGTGATCCTGGCCTCCGGAGGTGACCAGTCCAGGCTTCACAGTAGTTTCCCAGCTGGGAGAGGGTCTTGGTTCTGCTTGGGCAAGTTGCCCCCTGTTGCGTTGGTTACCTTGAGGAAGTCACGTGTCCATGAAGTGTTACTGCTTCAGTTTACTCTGAAGAGACCTCTTCCTCACTTCTCTTGATACATTTTTTTTTAAATTTGTTTAGGTCTTTTAAAAACAGTTAATGAATTCTTTATCACAGATGTCTCTCCTTTTCCCCCTTTGACCTCACCCCTACCTTTACTGCACTCTTTTTTTCTTGATCCTGTATTTTACTTGTTTGCTGGGTTTTACTTTCCCATTCTTTCTCTTCCAGTCGATTTCGGGGTGAGTGCTCAGCTGGACAGGACCGTGGGGAGGAGAAATACATTCATTGGCACTCCCTACTGGATGGCTCCTGAGGTCATCGCCTGCGACGAGAACCCAGATGCCACCTATGACTACAGAGTAAGAGGCACCTGCCACCCGAGGGAGGGGCTCTGCTCACAGACACTGCACCTGCAGTGTTGAGAGGCTGTCTTCCTGCTGAGGAGTGGACTGTTTTCAGGGGGTCTGGGTCATGAGCAAATTAAAAGATCTGCCCTGTTTGCTGTCCTCCTCATCTTGAAGAATGTATTCTAATCAGGTACTTGTTTTTATAAAATACTGTCTGAATATATTGCAGTAGCTTGAAATTTCAGAGTATTGTTAAAGAGCTTTACTGCTTTGATTTGGTATGTGAATATATTTACATTATTAGAGTGACCTCTAGGGACTTACATCAGTAATGCACTTTTTTGATCCTAATGTAGAACCCATATTTGATTATCAGACTCAGGTTGCATGTTAACCCAAACGTTTAAAGTTCCTTTGCCTTATTAAATGAGTCAGAGTGGTTAATGTACCTGTTAATGATATTCAAAATTGAGTTCATATCATAACACTGTCCAGTGTACTGCAGTATTTATTATAAATACCCAATTAACAAAACTCAGTTCAAGCCTATGGTGCAGAGGAATTTTATTTTATTTTCTATTTTATTTATTTATTTAATTTTTTTTTAATCCTCACCTGAGGATATTTTTCCATTGATTTTTAGAGAGAATGGAAGGGTGGTGAGGGAAGAGTGAGAGAGAGAGAGAGAGAGAGAGAGAGAGAGAGAGAGAGAGAGGAGAGAGAGAGAGAAACATTGATGTGATAGAGACACATGGATTGGTTGCCTCCCATACAACCCTGACTGGGACTGGGGTTCGAACCTGCAACCCAGGTACATGCCTTTGACCAGGAATTGAACCCAAGACCCTTCAGTTTGTGGGCCAATGCTCTAACCACTCTGCCAAACCGGCCAGGGCTATTTTATTTTTTATTTGCTGAAGTATTTTAAAATAGATTCTAGACTTTATGACTTTTTACTCTGTAATACATCATCTGTATCTCCAAAATTTGCAAACATTTTCAAACATACCCAAAATATCGTCATACACAGGTAAATTAAAAATAATTTTTAAATATAAAATTTGTAGTCAGACCCTACATTTAAATAAGATCGCCTCAGCAGAGAGGTACAGTTCCTGGTGCATCACACCAGGGGGCGTGGAGCGCCTGCTGTCCTGCTGCTGCTGAGGCTAGTCAAGGGGTTGAGCTGGTGCACCCCCCCTTCCATATTTGGAGTATAAAAACTCCGTGAAAACAAGGAGAAATCTGTGGGCCTTTCCTGATCTTGTAATCAAACATATGTGTTTGAACTCTAAATAATTACAGGTTCTTTGAAAACCCTTAAACTGAACAGCTCTAAGTGATTCCTGTGTTAGGAAATAGCGTATAAACAGAAGAATGCTAATGATAGCAGTTACCCACTGTCTACTGTAAAAACTCCTGTTTGGACTTATGAAACTGGCTGATAAACCTTTATTCATTCATCACGAGCCACAATCCCAAGACACAGGTGGATAACACAGACAGAAATGCTTTTTCTTATGGAACATATATTTGAGTGAGGAATAGAGTTAAGACTCAACTTTTAAAACTAAGAAAAGATTCCGCTCATAGAAAGGCACTTGGCTTAGTGCCCACTCCTCACCAAGTCTGAGAGCAGGGTAACAGGATTCAGCATTGTAACTCAAATTAGTGAGCGGGGGTAGATTCCATCAACAGCTGTGGGCCTCTCATGAGGGGAGCCCTCCAGCTTTTAAACTTTTAACATCTTTAAGTTTGAGATGTTAACATAAAACATAAAAATAAACATATTGGGGCCAGGCGTTTGAATTATTGAATGCTTATGAAGAAATGAAGAAATACAGAAAACAGAAGAATATCAGAGCAAGTAGAAAGAAGCTCCCATATGGACCATCTCTAGTTCGTCTGTAGATATGAGTGGTTCTAATTAACAAATCAATTTTATCTTTATTGTATTCATTTGAAAGGTATTCTTACAAACGTGTTTGTGCTTTTAATTTCCTGGCAACCTCTTTTCCGATTACACACCAGAGAATGCATTTATGTCATTTGTGTGAATAACCAGGACTGTTGAGTGAGTGGCCTCCTATCTGATATGCCACCCATAACATACTATTCTGTTTTTGCAGAGCGACCTTTGGTCTTGTGGCATCACAGCCATCGAGATGGCAGAAGGTGCTCCCCGTAAGTAACGCTCTTTCCAGCCCAGTTGTTACATATAACTTAAACCTCACTTCAAGACTTTATGAAGAACCGCTTCATGGGTAAAGCCATTCCTGGTGGGGCAATTAGGTGAAGGAGTCATAAGTATAGTGAAGCTTTAGATGTACAAGGAACCCTTGGTGTACACTGTTCATTTTGGAGGGCTCCCTGGGGTCTGTAGGCTACATTATACTTGATTTAAATTGTATCTGGGTGTGTGACCTGAAATGATGGTGACATCAGATAACAGGCAATAATTCTGCTTTTTAAAATTTGAGCTTAATGTTCAGTGAAACTAGTCCTAACGTGAAATTTTACAAATAGAGGCAAAACTTTTTATCTATAGAATAACTTTTTTTGGTATTACCTATGAAATTTTCTTCTGCTTTGAATTAAATCAGTGACAATTTCATAAAACTGATTTTTGATCAGGGATATGGTAGATTTGCAGAGAACAGGAAAGAAAAAGAGCATTTTTGGCTGTTCACCTAATAAAAAGGTATACACAAAGAATGTATCACTGTCTGGTACATAGTTGTTGCTGAGTAAATTTTTGTTGAATGAATGAAAAAAATTGCCAACAGCTAGGAATTAGTTTGCAATACAGAAGCGGATATCTGTCTCGAGTACCACGTCCCCTCGTGTTTCCGTCTGAGGAACTGAGACATTGTCGTAGTTTTCTTTCATGTGGCAATAGTATTATCTTTATTTTGGCCCCTATTTTCCAGCTGCCTTGTCAGATTCTTGTGAAGGTAAATACACACACGAAAGTGCACGTGCCGCTGTGGGTGGCACTGTGCACCTGACCCGCCTCTCCTGGGAGAGAGCGAGCAGGCCGGTCCGGCTCAGCAGTGCCTGGCTGACAGCGCGGTGCCCAGCAGCCGCAGCGGCCCGTGCGCCTGGTGCAGCGCCGTGCGAGGCCGTGGCAGGCAGTCTGATGTAATCCTCACAATAGCCCTATGAATTAAAATTATTTTTATTGTAATCTTACAGATGATTTAGAAACTTAAGATGTTATCTTTGATTCGTGAAAACTTTTCAGTGTCTTTTTGAAATTGTATATTCTTCTTGCTGTGCTGGTCCTCATATTTTGCTGTGTTTCAATGGGGACTTTGGGTTTGCCCTGGGGCTCGTAACTAGATGTCTAGACTGCGTGGCATAAAGCAGTGGTCGGATGGGACAGAGCGCTGGCATGTGAGCAGCCCTGGAGTGCCGTACTGACTCGCCCGTCTCTCCCCAGCTCTCTGTGACATGCACCCAATGAGAGCACTGTTTCTCATTCCCAGAAACCCTCCTCCCCGGCTGAAGTCAAAAAAATGGTAAGCTACAAATGGTTTTCTGTTGTTGTTGTTTTCTTTTTAAAAAAATGTTCCTTTCTAGTTTTACTTCAAGTCAAAATTCTGGCCTTCTTATTCTCAAAGAACATGGGCCAGTTCCCAAGACACCAGTTAAAAAGTGTATTGATTTTTTGTTTTATTTTATTTTCCTTGATAGATTCTCTGTATTACAAAATAGTGACAAGTGGCCATATGAAACACCATTGTACATGGTGAAAAAAATGTTCCATTGTTAATATTTCACCACACTTTCAAATGTAATATATTTCTGAACATTTTTGCATTAAGAAGCAAAGCTGTACTGACTTACAGTTCCTCAGGTGAGACAGGATGTTAAAATTCATGGCGGCATTTACTGTTACTGTTGCGAAACGTTGACTGTTAGCTGTTTCTGTCTCCATCCCCGAACCCACTGGAGGAGGGGCCCCTCTGGGCGGCACTGCCTCTCCCTGCAGCTCTCATTTGTTTGCTACACGAACATCTGAGTCTGGAGGGGGCAGTGATGGCCTTCATGGCTGGCCGTGGGGGGGGGGCGGGGAGGCAGCGTCAGAGCCGCCCAGGGACAGGCAGCGCTGTGTTTCTGTCTCTTGACCTGTGTGTCCTGTCGTCTCAGTTCCTGTTTGCTCAAGCTCCTTGTGCGCGTGGCCCTCGCTCCCTGGTCTGTCTGCTGTCTTCTGCTCCCGTCTTACGCATGCCTGCCCGCCGTGGACTTGTTCAGCTTTGTTCCTTTCTGGAACTGTTTCCAGTTAGTGTTGTCTCCTCGTAGGTGCTTGCTCCCTGAGGTGTGCAGGTCTCAGTGGTAAGCGTTTGTTCTGCATTTGGTCTCTGAGCTGTTGCTGGGAACGCATTACTTCCTGGCCGGTCACCTTGCTCTCCTGTCGGGGTGTCTGCACACGCATCGCCACTCCGTTCTTTCACACTGTCCCTGGTCCGCGCTGCCCTTTGTCCCACACAGCTCGCCGTCCTCTGCCCCGGTTTGCAGGAAGCCTTCCCTCAGCCTGTCTGTGCTGTCTTTAACCACATCCAGCTCCATAAGGCCGGGTTGCCGGGTTCTAGAGAGACTTTTTAAGGCTGTCCAGTTGTGAAGATTTTAGCCCCAATGGTCTCCTGTGTTACATAGGGTAACTGGACATCGTAGGCGGCCTACAGGAGGGAGATCAAATGCATATTGTGGACATCACCAAGAAGAAGTCGCGGGGCTGGGGTCACATGGGTTCCGGCTCATGCTAACCTAGTGGTGCTCACTGTTCCCTTTCTTTTTCTCTGTCAGATTTTATTGGGGCGAGTTTAGCTCTGTCTTCAGGGTGCCTCAGTGTATGGGTCTTGTCAGCTGGACCCTGACGGTATGTTCATTACTTGCCTTGTGAGAGTGAGCATTGTATACATGACACACATGACACAGTGTTGCAAAGGGACAGGTGCAGATGAGGACAGATTCTTCCTGTGCTCACCCAGGCCCCCGCCAGCTGAACTTGAGGAAATGGTTTTCATCCCGTTCCCATGGCACCAGGTTTTCTACAGTGACGAGATGGTCACACACAGCAGGTCCTCCTTCCTTTGTGCTTGTGGTCTTTCTGTCTGCCACATGGGAGTTTCTTCTGTTTCTGGAGGAGTGGCTTCCAAAAGACGGTCAGTGAGCCTTTACCAGAAGACGGTGACCGCTGGCTTCAAAGACCATCGTAGACTGTCGATCCCAGATGCCTGTAGGCCTGGGACATGAGCACTTCTCTAGAATCTTAGATCAGGGCTCCAGCCTCACAGCTGCTGGTGTGTTAGGTCTGAGGACTGACCCAGGTATGTGTGTTTTCAGTGGGCAGTGGGGTGTGGGGGTGCCTGCGCCAGGCGGGCACTCCACCACAGCTGTGCGGACCCTCATGTCCCTCGTTAACCACAAGACAGAGCAGCAAGCTCCCTGAGTGGCTCCGGGGCCCTTCTCTGAGCTGACCCCAACCTGTTATGTTCTTTTCCACTTTCGTTCCAGCATCAGGAACTGATTCGTTATTCCTAACAATTCGTTATTCTTGTCTGCGTGATTCCTTTCGTCTGGGAACGATGGCTCTGTTCTCGCGGGTCTGGGACAGCAAAGGTCTCTTCCTTGCTGTCTGGCCCCTGTAGCTCTGGTCCCTTTCCTTCCCCTGCAAGTGTGATGATACGTCTGCTCCTGTGTGTGCATAAATCACCCCACTTCATTCCCTGTGTGTGCTTCTTAAAGAGCCTAGCAGAAACAATGTAAATTGTCGATCCATGATATTTGTTGAATTGGAAAACCGAGTAAGTCTGAATGGACGTACAGGACAACAGAAGTGATTGTTAAAAGCAGTGGCATAATTGGAAAGAATTGAACTAATTTTCTAATTGACATTTTTAAAAACTAAATAACTCATTCATTCAACAAAAATTTATTACATATTGATTGTAATCTGCTGTACTGAGTGTTGGGCGTTGCTGACGAGCTAGACCGTAGGAGCCAGTGTCCAACCTGTACCCCTCAAACCAGCAGGGAGACAGACACACTCGGTAGTCTGTTAAGTGCGGGAAGCCCCGGGAAAGGCCCCTCGCCGGGCGTGTGGGCTGAGTGCAGCCAGGAAAGGCGGACCATGGGACGGCGCCTGAGCCGAGTCTCAGAGGGGGCGGTGGTGAGAGTGTTTGGGCCCAGGCAAGGGATGGTCATCATGAGCCAGACACCTCCCAGCACACATCCGGGGACTGGTCTGATAAACGCTGGTGACAGAATCGTTGCCCCTTCAGAACTATTGTTCCAAATCTGTGTTAGCACAAAGATCTAACCAGCAAACCGGTGTGAGGCTGATGGAAATGTCACGGTAACAGGTCCGAGAGCCCAGCGTTGGTCATTTCCTTGGCTCCTTCTCTCGCGTGTCTACCTTGTCCTTGTCATCCAGGCTCTAGCTCTCTATCCTCCATCTGCCTTCATTTTAGGGAACGTTCCTTTTGACCCCTGGCCGTCTCCACCTCTATGAGTAAATCGTTAATGAGCAGCATTAGATTGCAGCCCGGTTCACTGAAATCAGACTCCCTGTGACACTGTGCACACTGTGGGTGATGTGGTCACCCCCTAGCCCCTGGAAGGCGTGTTCCCAGTCCAGCATCCTGGTGATGACCCTGGGGCTCTTCTTTGCTTTCAGGCTTATCAGTTACTGGTATTTTGGAGCTTTGCTCTTTGTGGTAGAAATTTGATGATCTTTTTTTCTTCCTCTTGTAGGTCAAAGAAATTTTTTAGTTTTATAGAAGGGTGCCTGGTGAAGAACTACATGCAGCGGCCCTCCACAGAGCAGCTTTTGAAACACCCTTTCATAAGGGATCAGCCAAACGAAAGGCAAGTGAGAATCCAGCTTAAGGACCACATAGACCGGACCAGAAAGAAGAGGGGAGAGAAAGGTACTGAACCTGTTTTTATTTGCATCTTAAATATATATATATATATGCCAACTAGAATAGGTTTTTCCTGTCCCACCCATGAGCTGGTGCTCATTCGCCCAGTCTCTGAGGACAGGTCATGCCCTGCTGCTCAGTGCCCTGCGCTGGGGTTTCGGCTATCTGGTCTCGGAGGACTGATGTCACTTGTGTCAACTGATGAATCTGGTGTGTGTGCAGTGCCTGTCTGCAGCTGTGTTCAGGACTGAGCCCGTTTCAGTCCTGTCTCCTTTTTGTTACCAAGAAACTAATTTAAACTTATGTCTCTGAAAAAAGTTTGAAATGTATTTTTGTTTGTGAAGAGACCTTGTTTTATAAATCTCTTCAGCCTTTCTAGTTTTGATTACTCTGTGGAAGGAAATTGCTCCCTGAAATCCAGAAACGACCTGGAGTCTAGGGTCCCACAAAATGGACTCTTACTGTTGGGAAAATGGCACAAAACTTGTGAAAATAAGTTACTCCTGTTGAAAGTTGGTTGGATCTGTGGAGGGCCAGGCCTGTCTCTGTGCTGGGTGGTTTTATCCATGTCTCCTAAGTTCACCCTCCAACTGGGGGGATGCGGGTTTGATTTTTCTGTCATGAGTACCTACTGCGGTGCACTTTTTGTCAGCCCAGCAGACTCTGCTGCACTTGGGGGGGGGGTCCCCAGGACGAAAAATAAATCTGTTAGTTGCCTTAGTTTGGGCAGTTAAATCTCCTCCCTTTGAAGTTTGGCATTAGAGTGGATTCTCTGAACTTCTGGCCCTCCTGGGCTTGTTCTTCACTGTGGCCCTTGGAGCACCCGGCGTGCGCCCTGCGTGCGCCCTGCGTGCGCCCCTGGGCGGCAGCTTCCCGCGGGGCGTCCGAGCGCCCAGGTCTGGGTCGCTGCTGTGGCCGGAGCTGTCCCCGCTCGCGCGGAGTGTGCTGCCGGCCTCCTGCGGTCAGTGTCCGCAGCGCCGGTCTGAACCCCGCGGACTTTTGACAGATGAGACGGAGTACGAGTACAGCGGCAGCGAGGAGGAGGAGGAGGAGGCGCCGGAGCAGCAGGGGGAGCCCAGGTGAGCGCCCGTGGGCCGCGCATGCAGCTCTGCGTAGCGGGAGGGATCTTAAGTTACTGAGGAAGGCCTGGACATTGCCCATTCTTTCGTCTTTGAAAGATTTCTGTAAGCATTTCCTTCTGGATCCTCTTGCCCAGTTCACGCTGTACTGCACATAACTTATACCTGAACCCAGGCGGCTGGAAGGGTGAAGGACCCGTGGGCCCCGGGGGACAGAAAGGGCAGCCTGAACAGAGCACACGGAGAGAGAGGAGAATTTGTTGAAACAACTCCGCAATGTCTTTTTCTTCTTACAGAGATTTGAGTCCATTTGAGACTAAAACTTTTAGAGTAATTTGAATTGATTTCATGAGCAATGTAATTGTTTTGGGATGGGAGCATCATCTAATGAAAGGAGATCATTTGCCACACTCCTCCGGGTGTTGTGGAAGAGCAGAAGGGAGGCCGGCTCGGAGCGATGCTCGCCGGTCGGGCTCACTCTGGGGACTCTGGGCTCAGCTGCTGCCCCAGGAAACAAAGTGGGAGGGATACTCCTAAGACTTGGCAGACCAGATGGAAACAGTGGAGGAGAGGCCGTCCTGGGCTGCCCTGAGCTTTCCTCCCTGGCAGACCCAGGCACGAAGTTACCTTCACTGAGGGGAAGAAGGCGGTCAGGCAGGGATGAGTTCAGCTTTTAACTTCACAGTTGGAGTTATGTGAGAATCCTAAGGGGAGGTATTTTCAGGGCAGAGTTTTAAGATATCTATGACACAGATGAAAGCAGATGAATGCTGTTGAACTGGCGGTGTAGTCGTGGCTACGCGTGTGTTAGTTGAACCTGGGAGCGGAGGAGCGGGCTAAAGGGTGACCGGAGACGGCTCCCTGGGCTCGGCTCCTCCGGGGGGCGGGCAGGGCAGTGAGCCGCCCCCTGAGAGCCCGCTTCCCCCTGCAGCTCCATCGTCAATGTGCCCGGGGAGTCCACCCTTCGCCGGGACTTCTTGCGGCTGCAGCAGGAGAACAAGGAGCGCTCCGAAGCTCTGCGGAGACAGCAGCTGCTGCAAGAGCAGCAGCTCCGGGAGCAGGAAGAGTACAAAAGGCAGCTGCTGGCGGAGAGGCAGAAGCGGATTGAGCAGCAGAAGGAGCAGAGGCGGCGGCTAGAAGAGGTAGAAAAAGAAACGTCCACATTGCTTTTCTCTCTCTCCCCACATTGGAGCCCTCACAGGGCACTGCCGCGGCTCCGGAGGCGGTGCCAGCACCGCGGGCCGCCGGGCCGTCCTGCTCCCCCAGGCCCAGACCGGGCGTCCTGGCCCGGAAGACCTCCGGGGACTGCCCCGCAGTGCTCGCGCCCGGGGACAGGCCGGCGCGGGGCCAGGAGAGCCTGGTGCTGGCCGGGCCAGGCTGCTTCCCGGCTTCCCTGGCCGGCCCACCCCCTCGGGCCAGGTCTGTGGGTACACATGTGTCTGAAACCTCAGGGTTTCTCACGTGAGAAGCATTTCTCTACAAATGCCTTAAGTTCAGGTACGTTTAGGAGTAAGGGAGGAAAAACTCGGCACAACTCAGATGCTGCGCTGACTCGAGGGGCGAACGTGGTGGCTGAGTCCACGCTGGGGCACGACCTGCTGCTCATTAATTCGGGGCGCTGTGAACGCGGGTGATGCGGTCACAGCGCGCGCTTTCAGTTCCCAGAAACGCGTTTCCCTGTATCTCACCTGGGGTTCAAAAGAGGTTTCTGATTTTGTTTCCCTGACTGCTTGTATCACGTACCTCGCAGCCCCGGGTTTCTCGGTCATGGTGCCTCCTGGCCTGGCACTCCGTGTCTGACCGTCACCTCCGCCCTTCACCCGGGAGAAGAGCGCAGCGCATGTGCACACGGGGTCAACACGGCTTGGTCTGTGGCTGTCATGACCACACACGCTGTGACCCAAAGTACTTAAGAGTACATTTTGTGGGGGAAGTCTTTGTTTTGTTTTCTGTGTTTAAAACCTGAATTCTGAAAACTTCATAATTTGCCCCTACTTGAGAAAGCCAGTGCCTGACAAGGAAACGGAATATTCATCTAGAGTTTGTGGAAGAAAACGTAGGTCAGAACCTTCCTCTGCAGGAGGGACAGCGCTTCTATTTATATAACTTTCTATGGTTTCTTCGCACAGGCTTGGAATGTCTTTAAAACTGTTCCCAGTACTCTTTGGAAATAACAGAGTGAATTCCAAGGCTGTTCAAGTCCCGTGTTGATCATCTGAACTTCTGAGGACGCTTGAATTCTGAGGCCCTAGTTGTTGGTCTACAACATGTGGCATTTCGTACTGTCCTTTCTAGCCTGGGCTATACTTTCCTTTAGCACATGAAACAGGTTAGCCTGGGGTTCATAACTTGGGTGCCAGGGGAGCGGCCTTCAGGCAGCCTCTGCACAGGAGGGCGGGAGGCTGCAGGTCAGCACTGACTGGCTGTCAGCTCAGTAGAGGCTAAGACGGAAGGCTGTGCTGAATGAGGGCTCCGCACCTGCTGCTCTTGTCACTCAGCCCTGAGCATCCGCTTCTCAGTACAAGTTCAAACTCAGAGTCACCTTTTTGCAACTCTTGACCAGGAAAGAGGGAGCTGGGTCCTGGACTAGCAGTGCTTGCATGAATGTAACACAGTGGTTTGGACTGTTGGTGATCTAGCTCCTTTTATTGGCATGGCTAATTACGCAGTATCTACACTCCAGGTCCCAGAATGTTAATTTGCTAATATTTGAGTTTTAAATGGTTTGTATCCATTTACTGGCAGTAAAGGTTCAGTGAGAACTGTTTGGGAAATAGAGGTTTCATTTGTTTTTAACAGACAAAGTAGGTGAAGGTGGTCAGCCTCACTCATAAGGCAAGTGACAAAACTGAAAAGGATAACTTTCCACCTGTAAGTGGCAAAGTAAATAGAAGGTCCCCAAGCTGAGGTGGAGGAAGCACAGTGCAGACACCCTTTCTTCGAAAGTGCCACAGAGCCAGGCGCGCTGGGGTCAGGACTTCTGCCGCCCTCGTTTGCGAGCCCTCCTGGCCGGAGTGCTGCTGCTTCTGCCCTCAGGGAATCTGTCCGTGTGCACACCCCTCTAGCGCTCTTCCAGGTGGCCGCCGTGCGTCCCCCCTTGTTCTCTCCGCCACCTGCTCCCTGTTCCTGTGTGAGCTGGAGGTCTTGAGAACCTCGCAAATGTTTCCAAGTCTCTCTCCCAGTTTTGCCGACAGTGGGGTTTTTGTTTGTGTTTTCCATTTTCTGTTGCTTTTAGCTGCTCCAGGGGAACCAGGATGCTGAGCTGGTCCAGCCACATTAGTCCTGTGGTCTCACTGCCCACCCCCTCGCATGTGGACGGCTCCCCACCTCTCTCTCCTGCAGGCACTGCTGTGTCTCGCTTACCCTGGCGGCACTGTCCAGGTGCAGGCCCACTGGTGAAGATCTCCCTTCATCAGAAAGATTTTGGTTTTTTTAAATTTTGTTTTCTTTATTGATTTTAGAGAGGAAGGGGAAGGAAGAGAGAGAGAGAGAAACATCGATGAGGCAGAACATCAGTTGGCCGCCTCCTGCATGTCCCCCTCTGGGGATTGAACCCACAACCTAGGCATGTGCCCTGACCAGGAATTGAACCAGCCACCTCTTGGTGCCTGGGTTGATGCTCAACCACTGAGCCACACCAGCCGGGCATTGTTTCACATGCAGATATATCATCACAGCTTTGGCTCATATAGAACTTTGTCTCTAGTTATTTGTTTTTACCCTCACCTGAGGACACTCCTCCAGTTTTTGTTCAGATAGAGTGGGAGGGAGAGAGAGAGAGAGAGAAACATTGACCTGGAAGGGACACATCGAATGGCTGCCTCCTGCATGACCCAACCAGGGCCGGGGACAAACTGCAACCAAGGTACATGCCCTCAGGGAGAACCAAACTCAGGTCTCTCTGAACCGCAAGCCAATGCTCTAACCGCTGAGCCAAACCGGCCAGGGCATCTCTGGCTACTTTTTTTTCCCCATAAAAATTGTTCACAGGCCAGCTTTATCTCTCATTCTAATATCACTTATTTGCTTGTTTGTTTTTTGAGCAAAATGAAGACTATTTAACTGTACTGTCATTTTATTCTAATGGTTTTGTGCTTTTTTTTGTTTTTGTTTTTTTCAATTGAGTCTCAGTTTGGTATCTATGAACTCTTCCTCCTTACTCATGACATCCACATAGTTGGTTAGTATGTTTTCTCATTCTTTGTCCGAGTTTAATAAAAATATTAGCCAAGATGTTGTCTTTGAGAAAAACCTATCAGTATCTGAGTCAAGATTACTACATTAATTGTTGTTCTTGGGATATATGTTTGAACCTGTTACATGTTTAACTAAGTTTTCTGTCTCCTACTTTATACTCCTTCATTTTGACCTCAGGGAACGGTCAAATTATTGGTAAAAGCGAGACTCGTGTGTCTGGCTTGCTGCACCCCTTCTCGGAAGCCCGTGGGGCCAATCCGGCCGCAGCAGTTCCTTGTGTTGACCATGTACAGATGACCTTTTCAGTACAGACAGGAGTCAAAATCAAGTTTTCATCGGACATTTGAACTTATCCTTTTCTTTGAAAATAAACCAAAACGTGGGAAGAGCTCAGTTCCCTGGGCTCCCGTCCTGCCCTTTTCAGAGGAGACGGCAGGTGCGCACAGGCCCCGAGCCAGGCCGGCTCTTCCCTGCTTGTTTTCCCCTTTCTGTCCTTGAGCCAACACTGCCGATGCGATATTCAGGACTTGCCGGCACGTCCTGTCTCTGGGACCTCTCCTTTCAGAGTGCTCCGCCCAGCGTTGCCGTTGCCCGTCTGGCTGCGGGGCCTGCTCTCCTGCAGGAGGCCGTCGGCCATCGGCCGAGCCCTGGCCGTCTGGTCACTTGGCTTCTCCTTCCAGCCGCAGGACGCGGCACGTCCATCCTTCCCACAAATCCCAAAGGAACTAAAGTTTTAGAGGGTGGATGGAAATGGAGACTTTAAATACAAAGGAAGGGCAGAAAGATCAGTTTATGGGAACCATAACAAAAGGAAAACAGAACCAGTCCAAGTGGTTCAGGAAGTGAATATTATAGAGACAGCACACAGAAGTAATTTAAGAAAATTTCCAGAACTAAGAAATACGACTTTATGAATTGAAAGACTTACTGAATACCCAGCACAATGAATGAAAAAAAGACCTGAGAAAGAAAGGCAAATAAATCCGCTTGAAGTTCAGAATGAGTTTTAGGAAATTCAGGATGAAAAGAGGACCTAGGAGCTGCGGTGGGCAGGGTAAGGTGTGGGTGGTGTTGGACCGAATGTCCAGAATTGGACTGGTCTCAGATCCTCCAGGAGCAGCACCAGAAATGGAAGAGTTCAGAGCCGTGCTTTTCAAAATTTTTATTTAATTAATTTTTGTTACAGATATTTCTTTTTTCCCCCATTGACATCCTCCTCCCCATCCCACCCCCGCCCCCAGCATTGCTGTCTGTGTCCATTGGTTATGCTTGTATGCTTAAGTTCTTCTGAAACTGAGGGAAACTGCTTTCCCTCAGCCACATTGTCTGTGCAGTGTGAGCGGAGATTTTTGACATGCGAAGTCCCACAGTCTTCTGCCTTCTCTTCTCTCATCCCCAGGAAGTTTCTGGAGGGTGTGCTGAGAGGGTTCCAGGAAACGGGGTGCCATGCAGGAGGGTCAGAGGGTTTCTGGAGCGTGGGTAGACAGGACAAGTGCCCGGAGAGCAGTCAGTCCAGACCGGCACAGAAGAGGGGGCTGTGAGAAGGTAATCTCTAAGAATGTAGAAAGGACACCTGACTCATCGGACCGTATTGAAAGGAGCTTTGACCTGACCGGTGTGGCTCAGTAGATTGAGCATCATCTCAGGCACCGAGAGATCACAGGTTTGGTTCCTGGTCAGGGCACATGCCCAGCTTGCAGACTTGATCCCCAGGAGGGGGTGTGCAGGAGGCAGCTGATCAGTGTTTCTCTCTCTCCCTCTCCTTCTCCCTCTCCCTTCTTCTCTCTCTCGAAATCAAAACATTTTTTTTAAAAGAAAGATTTATTGTGATACAAAACACTTTACAGATGATTTTGTAATAGGTCCATAGAAAATCAGTCAAAACAAACCAAAAAAAAGACAATTAGTAACTCCTCAAAGAATTAAAAGAAAAGTCACTTGTACA